GTCACTGGGTACATAATTATTTGGGGGCTAAATAGTTACCTGGAGACTGTTAGAAATTTAAAATAAATGCTGAAGTAAATGTTACACATTATCATCACCTGATTCATCTTCCTTCAAAGATTCCTTGGCTCCCTGGCTGGTGTGGCTCAGTTGGTTGAGCGTTGTCGGTGCACCAAAAGGTTGCCAGTTCTATTACTGGTCAGGGCACATGCCTGGGTTTTTAACTCAATTCCTGATGGGGCGTGTGGGAGGCAGCTGATAATGTTTGTCTCTCCCTCTCTAAAAAATCAATAAAAACATTAAAAAAAAAAGTTCCTTAGCATATTTCTTCACATCTTCCCTTATATATTTTGGAACAATTTCATGTCTTTTAGTTATTTCACCAACCCAGGTGAGCTCCAGTTCAAAAGCTTTGTCCTTAACTTCATCGTGTAGAACTGATTTTTTAAAAACACATCCTTTAGTAGTACTAACTTAAAATCATATTCACATTTTTAAAAAATACACAAGACTCATATTTATGTCCTACTTTGATAAAAAGAGAAATTAAATAAAAAGAATTTTTTTAAAAAAAAGGTCCACAAGAGTCTGATATGCAGCTGGCTTGAGAACTACTAGCTTCAGAAAACAATGCTGCCACTGCCTTTTCCTCCAGCCTGTAATCACCCATCACGGAGGTACATGCTCACAAGTAAGTTTCCTCATCACCTTCGGAGCATGTCTTTCCCTTCCTATGAAACAGAAGCTGGAGAAGTCACACAGCAGGTTGGTCTGCATGGAATTCCTCTGAGTAATGTTTCTAGTCTCTTTCCCACCAGGCACTGCCAGGTGCTATTGTTTGAAATTTACGTCTAGTAATGCTGCTACCAGCACTGGCTTGTTCCATGTGCTTTCGAGAACAGCCTCTGACACCAGCGGGCGCAGCAGCCCACAGCAGCCCCTGAGGAGCAGCTCTGGACATCTAGTCTTGAATAGTCACCTGTGTTAAGCACATGGAACTCACCATCCCCCAAGTACCGAGTTTTTGATTCAGTGAGTCAGGGCCCTCACGTGAGGTTTCTACCAGCTTTCTTGGTGATTCTCATGCAGAGGGGCCAGAAGCCACATTCTGAGAAACCCTGTCTAAAAGAGCCCATCTTGCTACCAGAAAAAAATAAAGTATATATGTATATTTTTTAAGTCAACTTTGAGGTCTAATTTGCACCAAAGGAAATGCATTCATCTCAGGAGCACCTGCTGACAAAGGTAGGCATTTGCAGAACCATCGCCAATCAAGATATGGAATAGCACCAATACTCTAGAAAGTTCTCTCATGTCCCTTTGCTGTCAACAACCCTCCCTCCTGGACATTTAGCCCCAAGCAAATAAATCTGCCTTCAATCTCTACAGATTAAGTTTAGCTTGTTTCAGCATTTCATATAAAAGAATCGTACAGTACGTACTGCTTGGTATCTGCTGTTTTAGCGAAGTAAAAGGTTTTAAAGACTTATTCATGTTGCTGCACTTATCAGTAGGTCTTTGCTTTGTAGGAATGTATCAGGATTTGTTCATCTCTCTAGTTGGTGATACCACGGTTACCTCCAGTTTGAGGCTGTTACGAATATAGCTGTGAACACTGGAATACAAGTCTTTGTGTGGACATAGGTTTTCATTTTTCTTGGGTACCTGGGGTAAGATTACCTGGGGGTGTATGGTAAGGATATGTTTAATTTATAAGAAACTGCCAAACTGTTTTCCAAAGCAGCTGTGCCATTTTACAATCCACCACAACACGAGAGTTCTAGTTGCTCCACATCCTTGTCAACACTTGTTGCCAGTCTTCTTACACTTCGCCATTATGGTGGGTGTGTAGTGGAATCTCAATGTGGTTTTCATTTGCATTTTCCTGATGGCTGAGAATATTGAGCTTTTTTCATGAACTCATTGGCCATTCGTATATTTCTGTATATTTCTTTTGTGATTCTGATACGGATGGTCCAGAGACCGTATTTATTTATTTTTTTTTTCCTCATATTTTATTGATTTTTTACAGAGAGGAAGGGAGAGAGATAGAGAGTTAGAAACATCGATGAGAGAGAAACATCGACCAGCTGCCTCCTGCACATCTCCTACTGGGGATGTGCTCGCAACCCAGTTACATGCCCTTGACCGGAATCGAACCCGGGACCTTTCAATCCGCAGGCCGACGCTCTATCCACTGAGCCAAACCGGTTTTGGCCAGAGACCGTATTTAGAGAAACCCCACCTAAAACATCCATGCCCACAGGGCAATGTTTTAAGTGATTTAAATGGAAAATCTAAAATATCTCCCAACTTTGTAAAATAGGGTGTTTCAATATGCAGAACACCCATATGCTATCTATCTAGCTCTAACAATAAACATTTTGCCATTTACCTATGTATATATAAAATTGAACAATTTGAAAATGTTACAGATATCAACACACTTCACCCATAAATATTTCAGCTTGCATCTCCTCAAAATAAGGATATTCTTCTATGTAACTGCAATTCCACCTTTAACTAATTTGGGTCACAGAGATGTGAGAAAATGGTTGCCTGAGGCTTCTGAGAAAAGTCACCTTGCTCTTTAGACACAAAGAAAAAGTTTCATCTGGATATAAGGCTCAGTATGGGGCTGTCACATGGAACTCAGCCATGGGAGCCAAGGCACCCTTCATTGTTCAAGCCCATTTGAGTTGGATCTTCTGCTACAGGCAGCCAACAGTACCCAGACATAGGCGTGTATTACGGTTGGGACTCTGAGGACCTCGTCTCTCTGATGGATCCTTGACTGAGAGCCTGATTCTGAGTCTGAATGCCTTGCTTTCAGCCTAAACCCTACTATGCTGGCCATTAGTTTGGTCTAATCCCAGATGTGCTTGTAGACCCAGAACCTTCGACATCTTCGTTTCTCTGCTGGTACCTGGAAAAAATGCATGAAGGCCCTGCTCACCTGTGGTCCCAGCACCATTCTGCGGGTAGACCCCTACCTGGTCCCCCAATCGGCCTCTGTCATCAAAACCCTGTTCTCTGAGTCTTCCCCAGCATTTCCTAACTCCCCTGAAGCTGGGATTGCTTTTTCTAATTAGAGCAGGTAATGGAAAGAAAAATGAGGACAACTTTGTATTGCCTTATTTATACCCTGGGAAAATCTAAATATCAAGTCAGGGTATAATAAAGTCAGGATGTAAAAAGCTTTTGTTTTTTCGAGTAGAAAAATTTTTTTTAAATATTTAAATTAGTTACAGCATGTGATGGTGGACTGAGGTTCTGAAGAGCCTCTCAGCTGTCAACCATCAACCTCGAGAGATGTGAGGATGGTCTCAGATTTACACTCTAAATTCCATGAGGCCTGCATTCCTCACACTTAGGGGAACAAATTAAAAATAGTTCTTGAAAGGTGGTCTTAGATAATTATACTCACAGACACTAATTTCATTATTTAATGTATTTTTGTTCCTCAGACTTTCTAGAATCACATGATACCTGTTGAATCATAGTGGGTATATTGAGCTTTTCAATGCAGAAATAGCCTCATTATGTTAGTTATACCATGTTTTTATTTCAGTTTGCTGAATGAGAAGAAATACAAAACAAAAACAAATGAAAACCCCAATTTCTTCTGCAGGTCCAGTCTGTCTTGATAGCAGTTGTTACAGACAGCCCTGAAGCAGCTGGAATATAGTCGGCAAGGACCCAGGTGGAACAGTTCATCTTGAATCGTCGCAAGTATAATCTGATTTCCTTTGGTGCCTTGCACAGTAAGGCACTATTAATGATATAACAGAATAGAAGGTATGCCCACCGCATAGTTCTAGTGACAATTTACTAAGACAGGTTACAGTTTAATGATGGTGGTTGTGATTGTTTCTTTCACTTTACTATTATTTGTTACAATAAGGGTGTAGCCTTTATATTCCACACACACAAAAGAAAACAAGTGCTTATGAAAAAGTCCCTGCCCCCACCCCCTTTTCAAAAACACCCCAATGTAGCAATTCAATACAACAGAAAAATCAAGACTTGTTTGATTTCAAATTGTCAAAAAAAGCAAAGTATGTAATGCAACAGCTGTTTAACTTTCAACTCTAAAATAAACAAACAAAAACTCCCAATATTTAAATTTCTCCAGCACACATTCCAGTATAAATGCTCTGAACTGTAATCAGCTAGTAATTAATGGGAACAGAACCTTAGAAGTTATATTGCTTCCCTACCCCCCTTTCTCTTATAATTAGAGGGTCGGAGGTATTAGGGGATACAAAAGTCAGAGGAAGAAGAATTAAAAAGGAAAATTCCAAAGGCTGCAGTTTGTACTAGAAAGGAAGACAGCATTTTACAAATGCTCAAAAAATCCCAAGGCAAGTTACACAATTCATTCACTATCACTCCTACTTGAAAGAATAAAGACCTCTGCGTCTTTTATAAAACTGTATTTTCAGAACTGCATTACAGGTTCACCAGAAACTATAGATGTAGTTTAGGCTTCATCAGGAAAACAAGTTCAGTTCAGATCAAGTTAGATACTGTATATCTAGCCTAGCTGGATCGGTGTCTGGAACTGCTCCCTGTGTCACCCCAAACAGCTGTAAACTAAACAATAGTATGTAACTCCATAGGAAGCTTAAGGATTGAGGATATGTACACAGCTAATTATATCTCCCCTGCTTCGCGCTCTTCAGAGCTCCTCCTGTCTTCTGATCTGCCATTAGCGCTCTCATAGGACCGCTTCTTATCTTTTCGATCTCTGTCACGAGGTGATCTGTCTCTTGAATTCCTGTCTCTGTCACGTGATGCTAAGTCTTGGTCTCTGAATCTTTCTTTTGAGGATCTGAAAAATATTAATTTAAGGAGCAAAATGTGTTGGGGAACCCAAAATCCAAGAGAAAGAATCGGATAAATATTAAGGTATGACTGCTGAAGACACACAGAATATATCCAAGAAAGACAAGAGTCAGTGTTCTGACAGAAAAGAGCACTACCATATTTGATAAGGGTCTATCTAAAACAAAGACATGGGTGAAAACAAATAGCTAAGGGTGAAAAACCATATGCGAAAATAAGAATTTATAGGACATTCTCATTCTGAGGGGCAATCAAAAAAGCTTCTCCAATTCATAGCAAATGCATTTAACATAAGAATTATAGACAATAACTTAAAAAAGCAAAAGGTATTATCTTATTTTAAAATATATAATAGAATGTAGATCCCACATAGGATGGAAATCAATGTCTTAAACAGGGGTTCTGCAAAACTTTTTTTGCTGTCTGGTCAGAGTAAATATTTTAGGTTTTGAGGTCACATACAGTCTCTGTGGTATATTCTTCTTCCTTTTCTTTATCAACCCTTTAACAATGTAAAAACCATCCATAGGTTGCTGCCTATACAAAAACAGGTTAGGGGGCCAGATTTGGCCTGCAGGCAACTTAGATAAGAAAACTACTCATTTAATGACAAGGTAACCATTCATTATTTTAAAAATCTGCTTTACTTCTCCTGAGTTAGCTCATTCAACCAACAGAAAAAAAATCAGGATGGAAGACAGAAAAATACAATCACACTATTATAAATCTTGATTAACCATGACTGTTTCTTTTTTTCTTTCTTTTTATAGCAATGGTGGAAATTTATTGAGAAACAAGCACAGACTCCCACGTGAGGAGGGGGAAAGAGTCCCCAACCATGACTGTTTCTTAATACCGCCTTCTCTATTCCCACACCCAACTTCAACAAAGTAAATAATAACAAAACAAGCTCATATCAGAGATTCAGTCAGTAGAAAAACCAAAGGACATTACGGGATCAGAATTAATATTGAATTTTCTATACTTTCAACATCTAGAATGAATCAGTACCACATATTATGTTTATTTCATTCTTTATAGGTGACATAATACTTTTACATAACTATCTCACTTAACCCATGTTCAGAATTTGGATCTGAGGCCTGATTAAGTAATATTTTCAACTTCTATGCCAGGAAAAAACTACTACCATACTCAGTTCTAGAAATATAGTTAAAGAGGATTAAACTAAAAAGGTAGAAAGATAAAGTAATGCCAACTTCGAGCATTCTGCTTAATAAGATTTTAATGAGCTTAATTTAAAAGTGATGTGTAAAAAACACCACCACACAGTACATATCTGGCAACATTAATCCTATCCATACTTCATGAGAATGGAATATGGAGATGATGAGTAAGAGGTCAGTAATAATAACTAAAAATCAACTATGAGATGAGCATCAACTAATGCTTTGTGAGAAATCACAATGACTACACACTAGCAGTTTCCATTCACTATTTCACTCAAATTACCAATAGTCCTAATGAAGCAGGTATTCTTACATCTATCTCTACCTAGTAGACGGGGAAAGAAAGGTAGGATAATTAAATTACTTAGCCCAGGCCACCGAACCCAAGTAGTCTGACTCCAGGGTCTGCACTATATGTCTGAACAGAGAAGGAAGCAGGAAAATGAAAATGGCCCTCATTTACCAAGAGTAACTGTTGCAAGGGAAAGGTCACAAACAGAATATGCTTATATCAGAGACCAGTATTTCAGCTGGGGCAGGGGAACAACAAATCATTAAAGACTCTTAACTGAGACTTTTACCTTGAAAATTAAACTCAAATATATAGCAATAACTTGTAATAACATATAGGTTTTAATAGCAACTTTCCAATAATTTTTGGCAAAAACAAAGACTATTACTTTGAAAGAGTAATTTGAATATGAAGATTAGAAGTGCTCTAGAGAAAAACAAAACTTTTACAAAAATAATCCTCTTTAGGACATGCTGAAAATTTAGTAGAGGTATCACGTGTATGGTGGGAAAATGTCCTATACAACTTCATAAATGCAGGAAGCATTAGGGACTAGAACAACACAATCTCAGATGAGCAACCCTTCTATCTCAACCACCATAAAAGAGGTGACAGACACCAGAAACAATGAAAGGTGGGCGGGCTCTCCAGAGTAATTGTCGACCATCCATCAACCAGCAGAATGATTCCCAAAATTTACAGTGCAGTTAAAATTCAGAGAATTTTTTAAATGCATTTTTCTGGGTATGGCACCGTGCCTACAGTTTTAAGAATTTGAGATAAGTGGCAAATCACACTATCAGAAACTATCCCTTATATAAATTCCCAGCTCATTCTCTACATTTGCCTGGTAACACTTTCTATTCAAATGATACCCACTTTATTCAAGTTTTATCTACTACCTGAGCCATTTTTTTTTATTGCTCTGGAATGTCCCACATCTACACTCCTGTATTAGTTACTCTATGACATACAGTTTAGCACTTTATAATATGCTAGGTTTTATATCAGTCTGTTGTCCAAGATGTTAATCCTGTGTTCTAACTCACTTGAATAAAGTTGCTCAACTATGTTATATTTGGTATTGTTTACTAGACATACAGTAGAAAGTATACAGTTCTTCCTGATTAAAGTTACCTTAAGAACTTCTTGGTTTGCGTAGAACTTAAATGTTCTCACCAAAAACAAAAGAGAGAGATAAATATGTGAGGTGATAATTAACTAATGGTGAAAATGCTTTTGTAATGTATATGTACCTCAAATCACCACAGTGCACATTTTAAATATCTTAGAATTTTATTTGCCAATTATACCTCAATAAAGCTGGAGAGGAAAGACCTACTTGGAACAAACCAAGAGTATAATAAATATTGATTGACAGCCTATGAACTAACTCAGCTTGTGAGTGGTTCCAGGGAATGGCTGGTTGGGGATCAAAAAAACACAGAAAGTTTAAACAGCATTCTGTGGATTCTATCATGGTTTTTATGTAGCATAACCCATAGACAATTTAAAACCAATAGAGACCAGGAACTCAAAAAATCATATGCATGTTTAAGAAGAGTTTTCAAGGCCCGGGCCAGTGTTGCTCAGTGGTTGAGCATCGACCTATGAACCAGGAGATCACGCACGGTTGATTCCCAATCAGGGCACATGCCTGGGTTGTGAGCTCGATCCCCAGCGGGGGGCATGCAGGAGGCAGCAGATTGATGATTCTCTCTCATCACTGATGTTACACTCTCTCTCCCCCCCCTTCCTCTCTGAAATAAAAAAAAAAAAGAGTTGTCAAGAAAAAAAGCAAGCTGAAGTGTGGTTTATGCTCCATAGAAATGAACTAGCTTAAGGACCATCGTGTAACCTGAGACACTTTGGGAGTTTGGTCTACATAGACTGAGTACTAAGGCTTCACCACATTGTTATCCTTTGTCCCGATGAAATTTCCAGGTCCTTAAACTTACTTCACCCTGGGTCTGCACTCCTTGTATCTTGTGAATTTTCATGTCAAGGAAGAAGTCTAACTTCTTTAAGACTCTGAATCTGCCCTGTCAAGCTAACTGTATATAACAACAACATACTAGAATGTGTCTGCTCTGCGGAAGTGCACCAGCTCAAAGAAGTATGGAAAACATTGTCAAACAAAGCTGAACAATTCAATGAAAGGACTGCTCAGAGCCCCTAATTCATCAATACATACAGAAAAAAAACTCTAAGACTATTGGTACCTAAAATTATTTGCCCATGAAGTACGTCGTCTTCCCCCGCTCCCCCCGCCCCCCCGCCAAAAACATACCACGCAGAGAAAAGCATAACCTCTGCACATATTTGTTCCAAATGTCTTTCTCTGGCTCATAAGAATATTCTTTCTGAACTACCCATACAATCAGGGGAAAAACTGTTAATACACCCACACACAAATGTGTACATATTACCAGATGCAAGTTTCAAATCAATAGTATTCCAATTCTAAACCATAAAGGTAGTTCCATGTCCTCTTATGGACACCTCAGTACCTCCTCCTGGATCGCTCTCTGCTTCTGTCTCTAGAACTGTGCCCACTTCTCTGGTGGCTGCGGCTGCGACTTCGGCTGCTAGAGCGAGATCTGTGGCGGTGGCGCTTCTCCCGAGATTTAGACCGAGTTCTCCTCTTCCGTTCTCGTGACATGGAGCGAGATCGATGTCGGCGATGCTCTCTGGACCTGGATCTATAAAAAAAACATTTGATTTACTTTTTAGCTTTGTCAACACTACACTGCTCATTGACTAAAGCCTCTCTTTAAACAGAAACTATCCCTTAGTAGCTTTGCTTAATGCCAATTCTATTCAAGTCAACTAAATCCACACTAAAACTGCTGGTATCCTATATAATAAAAGGCTAATATGCAAATCAACCAAACGCCAGAATGACCAGTTGCTATGACACGCACAGAGGTCAATCAATAGTGTATAAATTGCCCTGGCTGGTTTGGCTCAGTGGATAGAGCGTAGGCCTGCGGACTGGGGGGTCCCAGATTCAATTCTGGTCAAGGGCACATGCCTGGGTTGCGGATCAATGATTCTCATCGCTGATGTTTTTATCTCTCTCCCTCTCCTTTCCTCTCTGAAATCAACAAAAACATATTTTTTAAAAAATGTTTTAAAAAAAAGTGTATAAATTTACATCAGGAATATAAAAAAAGGAAGGAAACCAATCTGTATCACTACTACTCTCTGAAATCAACAAAAATATATTTTTTAAAAAATGTTTTTAAAAAAAGTGTATAAATTTACATCAGGAATATAAAAAAAGGAAGGAAACCAATCTGTATCACTACTACACATCAGGGATTGTATTATGTAGGATTATTGTAGATTCTAGATGCTTTATGGAATAAATTTCATTTAAACTTCTAAGACTTTTAGTATACTTTAGATAAAGCATGTACCTGATGGACATGGATAGAAGGGAGGAGAGGCATGAAAAAAATATTGTTTAGAATAAACTTCAGCTCTCTGGATTAGAGAGGTTTTGTATGACCACTGAAGTAAGTTTGGCCCAGCTGACGTGGCTCAGTGGTTGAGTGTTGACCTATGATCCAGGGGGTCATGGTTCAATTCCTGGTCAGTGCACACACTTGGGTTGCAGACTCGATCCCCAGTGGGGAGCACGCAGAAGGCAGCCAATAAATGATTCTCTCTCACCATTGATGTTACTCTCTCCCTCTCCATTCCTCTCTGAAATCAATAAAAACATATTGAAAAAAAGAAAGGAAGAAGTTTGAATGTCCACAATATGCCTAGTCACAGTATAATCCAAAAAATAAGACAGCCCGGCTAGTGTGGCTCTGTGGTTTAGCATCGACCTATGAATCAAGAGATCACGGTTGGATTCCTGGTCAGGGCACATGACCAGATTGTGGGCTCAATTCCCAGTAGGGGGCATGCAGTAGGCAGCCTATCGATTCTCATCATTGATTTCTCTCT